TTTAGTTTACTTCTTGTTGAAGGAAATTATTCGACACGTGTACACCCCTAGGAATACTTTCCAGCATGGACGTGCAACCCTATGTGCACCCCTACCAGAATATGGTTTTATTCCTAAGGTGGCGTCCCTCATCTAATTTACTGTAATCTACTGTATATCATGTTTCAAAACCAGTTTGGATCATCCATGGTTTTTAACAGCTGCATATATATATATATATAGATATGCCCTGGAAAGTTACTTATCCATAAAGTAAAGGACAGTCCCTTTCAGGCACCCTAAAGACAATTCTGTTTGTAGTCTTTGGCTCCCAGGGTATATATCTGCAGTTTTTCGCCTGGATGACGGTGTTTTTTCTTCAGGCCCTCTTTCTGCTTGGCAATTGCCAGAACGCGGGTGGGAACACCATGGACGAGCGGCAATGTGGTCTCCCGGGCTATGTGACTCGAACGCACGTGACCATGGAGGCCCGTCTCGGTCGCAGTGGTCTGCCGCCGTCGGCTTCCGGTCGTCGGACCTCGCAGTTTTGGAACTCTGCGGGAGCCGCCTACATCGCGGAATTCCAAGCCTGAAATCCGGCCATTGCTCCTCCCAGGGCGTGGAGCCTCGATGCCGACCTGCGCTAGGAATGGACTTGCAGTCTCGGACGTGGCAATTTTGGGACGTGTTGTGTTCAACGCGTGCCTCGTCGTTTGTTGACCTGCGAAGTGGCTTAAGAAGGGAGGGGTAGCAAACGGCATGGTACTTAAGCAGATGTCAAAGCAGACTCCATTTTTGCAGCAGTTGAGAAGGTCTTCTTGGCTGGTTTGCTTGAAAGAAGGCATGGAGATCCGTCATGTCTTGAGGCGCGTCACTACACCTATGTGGGCGCAGAGTACATGTGGCTGGACTCTGCACTTTCAGACCTTTAGTGAAATCATGTGAAATCCGTGGAACAAGAAAACAAAGCATAACAAAGCTATAACCATCAACCTCAGATGAGCCAGCTAGCAGCCTTTGGTCTCACAGCACCTAGGTTTACCTTTGGGCCAGAACGGGAAGCAGCGGCACGCGATGGTGTGGCCCTCACCTATTATCGCTCCTGGAATTCCACCTGGTTCGACCCCACGCCCTACTTCTCCAAGCTCACGGACTTCACCGTGGGCGTGGCACCTTGGCACCGGTGTGTGAGAACACGTACAAGGCGTGTTTTCTCTCCGTTTTGAATGACACTCACTAGAACACAAATGAGATTTGCCATCGCAGGCATTTTCCTTCCTCACATGCCCGTTTTGTGAGGACATTGCAAACTGCTCTGAGCTCTTCAAATTGACGGACCATGTTCTAGCGGCTGCATTCATCCGCGTGACGGGCTATGAGGCATGCCTCGGACGGGAAGACGATGCTGCGAACGAGGTAGAAACTAGCTTCTTGCTACTATAGTATACTAGTAGTAATGCACCGGTTACGAACGCAGCGATGCACTTGTTACTAGCGTAGCTTATGTCAAGCACGAACTTTCCAAGTACCAAGTTAAGAGATCTCCCAACACTTGCGCACCAACGAATTTGCTGTGACTTACATTGTTGTCTCGCCCAAATACTGCACCCAGACTTTTGGGGTCTGAGACAGACTTTGACAGCCTCTTCAGGATGCGGTACTGGATGCCGGCACGGAGAATGCCAGGATCGGTTGCTGGAATCATTCCTTCGTCTTGGGCCCTGGGTGTCGTAATCCAGGCAGGTTGGACCTTCGCCCCGCCACCTGTCTTCTCTGCCCCAGTCGTCCGTGTCTCTTCCTTGTGCGTTCGCGGTTAAACATCGCGCGTCCGGCCCAGACGACCCAAACAAATGCATCCCCTACCTGACCTACGCTGGCTGGTTGGAGCCTTCGGGCATTCAAAAGATCTTCTCCTACAACACGGCAGCTGGGCGGAGAGGACCCGAGCAGACGAACCGGCTTGGCAGATGTGAGTTCGCCTGAACTGCTCGCGAGCTTCCTTGGTGTTTGAGGATCCGAAGGATCCTGATCCCTTCTACCCTGAAAGTCCAGGAACATGACATGTCTGACATCAATCATATTTACCCCTCTTTTAGTGGTGGTGGATGGATTTTATATACTTTAATTTCGTTTTTTTTTCATATGTTTTCGATATTTTTCGTGGAGATCGTTCTTCTCAAAACGAGTCACAGAAGTTCTGACCTCACCCACCACTGGGACGACGGACTGGGACGATCCCAGGCCATTGCCTATGGTGAAGCATTGAGCTGGGGGAAGTACGTGCGAGCCTCAGATGCACGTGCCACTCATGCCACGGCCGTCACTCCCACACTCCACGGGCAGGAATCCAGTATATAGCAATAGATATCCTTAGTATATCTAGTGTTATATCTATATTGTATGTATATATCCATAGTATATCCTTATTATATAGTATACTTCAGAAAGCCACCACCTGTTCGACCGGCACCAGGTGTCCATCCCCCGCGACTTCAAGGTGATCTACTACTGGTGGAGTCCGGCCACGGAGTTCAGTGACATGAGCGCGCAGAAGCTGGTCTTTCCCGGACCCGCCAGTCCATCCAACTGGGCGAAGAATATCCGGAACAAGCTCTATCCCATCTCTGAGATGTACTCCTTCACAGCTCGAGAGATTCAGGATTACTATGCAGATATTTTCACGCGTCCCGGTGGAATAGAAAGGATGAAAAGGATCAAAGTATACAGTATACGCAGATTGTTTGTGTGTGTATTCTTTGTTTTTGGCTCGTCGTCCTCGGCGTTCGCGCGATCGGGATCGTGATGCGTCCGGAGAAGCGTCGAACTCGTGTGGCCGTTGAGGGGTCCGTCCGTGACGAGGTTAGTGAGCCGCATCGATCTCAACAACCAGGAGTTTGATGCGGTGATGGGGACACTGCAAGCCAATTGGGCGCCACTTGACATCTGAAAGTTGCAAAATATAAGGTATATATGTCGACGTATGCACTATAATACAGTAGACTGTTCAGTGAGTTATTTAGACGTATAGCTGTGATAGACACATTCAACATATACGTAGCTGTCACATCACTAATCAGCTCGTTGCATCACTCGTTCTTATGACGTGCACTCGTTTTCTCGGTGTTCTCCCTCCAGGGCTGGTTTCGGAGGGGCCGACGGCTATCAGAAGACGGCCTGCGACTTTATCCAAGCGCCTCGGACCAGTCCGATCGAGTGGAGCGACCGGTCCAGACGGTGAACCGGCGGCTTCAGGCCAACCTTGCTAAGACATTGAGCTGGATCCCGAATGATTTGGAGTGCGCGGCTGGTACAGGCCGGAGTCGACGTTCGGAACCGGTCTCGGCCGGTGGATTTGTTCTCCACGCCTCGGTGGGAAAGCAGACCGACCTCCAAATCTGGTCGGCCAGACACCCCGCGGCGGGCGCGCTCTGCTTCTGCCGTGTTTACAAGCTTGATAAAGGACACCTGGTTAAAGCAACCATCAAATCATACTGTAGCAATCTGCTCGAGACGGAACAAGACGTTCAAACAATTGAGCCAAAGCGACCGGGTTTTTCGATCAAAGACACCTTCCAAACAGGTTTATCTAGCTGCATTGAGCAATGAGAAGTATGATCTGATCTCATGTTTCCTGACCCGAAAAACGCGCGACTCACGGCAGGAGGACAGAAGTATGTTCTCCGGTCCGGTCTGCTGTCCGGATTCCGCGGGTCGTCCCAGCGGGTCCAGGCGTTCGGACGGCCGACGGCGGCTATGATGCGGTGACGCGTGAGGAAGCGTCCTACTGTGAATGGTGTCCACCAGGCGAGGAAGGGTTTTTCTCTTGCATGTAAAGGACATCAAAGGATATGGGTTTGTATTTTTTTGGCGTGTACTTCCTGATGTAGTGGTTGGAAGTTCGACTTGAGCGATTCATACCCTCGAATCATACCTCGAATCATACCCCCGAATCATACCCCTCAAAACGTTACACGTAAGAACCAGGTGTTAAGGTGAAGTTTTTAGTTGGTCTTTGTGCCTTGTAGATGTCCATGAGCCAATGGTCCATGTAAAGGACATCAAAGGATATGTGTGTTTTGTTTGAAGACGGAACCGGTGAAACTCCGGCAAACTCGACGCCAAGGCCGGTTCTCCAACCCGATTACCCTGACGAGTGCGACCAACGGGGACATCAACACCTACAGGCACCGGTCGGGGCGGTCGCCCCGCTCTCGACGGACGGACGCACTGCTGGGTATTCGACCATCGGGACTGGAATATTTGAGGAATGCTTAAGGGGTGCTTTTGAGGTGTTTATATATGCGCATGAAGTCAACAGGTCAAGTCACTCGTGAACTATGTGAGCTTCACTTCGGCTGGTCAGCGTGCGAACGACGCAGGTGTGATGCATGCCCAGCTGGACAGAAGCAAGGAACAGGTGGATCCACCTTTTGCGAGGATTGCAGGTGGCCTCAGTGGCCGTCACCAGGGTGCCGGTGGCGTCACATCGGTTCCAACGAAACAAACCGTGCACGACTCCGGTCGCCTTCCCCAGGTTCCAGTGGCACCTTCTCCTCGCAGGTGGCCACCGTGAAATGCACCCTGCGCCTCGTCGCAACGCGCTGACCAGCGACGGCACGGCACCGCGGCGTCCGCGGGCACCGCGCGGGGTCCGCACGAAGCAAGGTGTCCCGTGGGCTCCTACATGCCCGAGAAAGCGGCCTCCCAATGCACCCGATGCCCTGCTCCCATGGTGACGGCGGAGGCGTCGAGCCGGCGCGGGGGTTTTGGATCGCAGCGCGCGCGGAGCTTCGTGCGATCCGAGCCCCAGAAGTTCGGACGATGAACTCGGTACGTAGGAAAAAGAATCCTTACTGCTATGGACTCATCCAGGGACATCCTGGTACCACTTCATCCAGATCAACACGTGTTTTTTAATGTTTTTATGCGTTTTGTTCCATGTTCCATCTCCACGAGTCCGAAACCACCACTTGTACTATACCTGGCTAGCCAGGACTCGGATACACCGCTCCCTCAGTACCGCTCTGTGGCTGTCAGTTCAAGAGGGGCTCCTCTCTCAAACATATAAGATCAATGGGATTCAATGGGATTATTGTAAGTAATAATATACACACATACTTCTACTTCTTCTTCTTCTTCTTCTTCTTCTTCCCTCTCTCTCTCTCACTCTGCTGCGCAGCCGAGCGCAGCTAGCAGCTCTCTCTGGCAGGAAGCCTCTCGCTTCGAGACCCAATGCATTTGCCCCAAGGGGATGGTGCGACCCTGCCGTCACACATCGGCACCCAACGGGCTGCGTGTCTTGGGCGCACGCAGAGGGCCGCACTTCGCTTTTTTCGTTGGCGAACTCACGGAGCGAGAGACTGCTTCTCCCCAGCCCGGTTGGGGGTCTCCCCATTTCAAGATCTGAAATCGATCGTGGCCTTTGGACATGGGTGCGCCTCAGGAGAGGGCTGCACCTGCAACAAGGAGGTGTGTGACTCAGATCGAGGTGTTCTCACCTTTCTCAGCTGTCGCCGGACGGTCGCCGCGTGTCACCTCGAGGTCTATGCCACTGAGACCAGCGAGATGTGCATCCCATGTCCTGATGGCTTGGAGTGCAAAGCTGGAGCTGACGAGAAAGCACTTTCGCCGCAGACATTGTGGGTGAAAATCCAAGTACCAAGCGGGGATGCAATGGTATGCAATGGGGTGCTTGTTGAGCTAGCTAGATCCAATTTGGTAAGTTTAGTTGGGAGGCCATTGCCATTAGGTTGGAGGCCATCGCTAGCAGGTACCGTTTAGACTTTGTTTAGATCTTTTTAGGCACTATCGTTCCGGATCCAGTTGTGTTCTGTGCTGGATCCGTTCACATGTGTCGAGGACTTGCCATGCTATCGTGCGATGGAGTCGCCGGAATTGAACTATCCACGGCCGCTCCCTTCGTATCTTGGAATGATTACACCAAATCCTGTATTGCTGGATGCGGCATACACAAGCAATGCCATGTAGAATGTGCAAGAATCCTTTGTTGGAGATAGTCTTTGTCGCTCTTTTTTCATATACAGTGTATGCTGGCAAAGTTCTTTTCGGCCCAGGCATTACACTGGCTTCGATTCACCTTACAGCGTCTACAAGTGCAAGGAGACATCTTGGGAACAGGTTGTGATGATTTATTTGAATTTGCCTAAAGAGAAGGGGAAACCAGGAAACATGTTCCGGAAGTAGAATAGAAAGATAGAATAGAAAGACGAAGGAAAGACTCACAAGAAACATGTCCTCACGAAATCTGTAAGCGGCTTACAACGTCGGGTCTCGGACGAAGTCGTCCGTTGTCCACGACTCGTCCCAAGTTGTGAGGTCCCAGGTGTTTGTAGATGTCAACTAGCAGCCTAATGATCAATATATCATATGAATCATATGTATATATTATTAGTTCATATCATGATCTGATAGGTTTTGATGAACCTAATACATAAAAAAAACAAAACACGTAGTACTGTATGTCTATATTGTTAATCTCAGCTTCTCAACCCTGGAGTTGACTAAAAAGGAACCCTAAACCCTGGCGATCTACACGGGTGACCGACTTTTTACCTCCGTGTGCTGTGACGACTTTCTCCTCCCACCCTCGTACGCCGACTCACGAGCGAAGAAGGAGGTGCACGATGTGATGATGTGCACGTGATGTCATGTGCCAACCCCAAAAACGATAGACCGCCTGTATCCCCATTCTGTGTCACAGACCTCAAGTTCTCTGAAGTCTGCAGGACAATCAGATAACCCGACAGGTGTGAATAGTTGAAACCTGGGTTTCACATGCACACGAATCACCTCACCATGTCTGCCTCGCTTCCCAAAATCAAAAGTTTGGTCAGTCTTGCCATCATTGCTTCTTTTGTACTCTGAGCTGAGTTGGAACGGTGTTAATCCACTTCGTTCGCGTCATGGATTGTCTCTCTTTCAAGGCATGTTCCTGGTCGTGGAGGACATATTTCCCTGTCCATCGATTTAGTGAGACAGTCAGCCAACATTGCTTACCCACCGCACAACCGCATTGGCAGCCTTTCACACGCCCTCACACGCCCTCATACCACCATGCATGGTGCGGTACTGGACATTTCATTGTCTGGAAGTGAGAACATGTGAGAACTATCCCAACTTCCTTGAACCATAGGCGTCATGTGATGCTCACCCATCTGGCAGGACGCAGAGATCTGCCCCGGGCAAGCCATTGAAGTTTGCTCTGCCAATGCCTATGGTATCGCTTGTGGTTTGTGCCAGGACCAGTGGTATCGCTTGTGGCTTTGGGAGCAGAACGAAACTCTGTTTCTAATAGCTTCTTGTTTCTACTAGTAAGGCACTTGTTACTACTAGCGATGCACTTGTTTCTAATAGCTTCTTGTTACTACTAGTAAG